AAAAAAATGTGCTTCGTACTCATGATAGATTTGGGACGTTAGGAGGAACTAGTATAGTGGATGATGTAGGGACTTCCCGATAGTCGGAATGTGCTGTTGGAGTTGGAGGGTACAACAGGTACATCGGGCGGTGGTAGACGTAAAGGCTAGGGGTTTTAACGGAGTTTTCGAGTGTTAATATTCAAGATATTGGTTAGGTTTGGGGTTTTGCCATAGGCTAGTTTTTCAAGACCACCGATGAAGGAACAATACAAGGGAAACACGTATGGGCAAGCGCAATCGAACATGCAAAATAAGCAGAATTTAAGTGGAGTCTAAGTTGAACCCATGATAAGCGGACATGAAATGTCGATGAGGATCTATACTCAAAATTTGATAAACGGTATTCATATGGCGATAACTATCTATGAAGAAGTGACTGGTAAACGCTCTTTTCGTCAAAGGAAAGGAGAGACGGTAAAAGATGGTAGGGTTGGAAAAATGACAGGTTGGAAAATAAACAATGTCCTTATTAACCTCCTAATAAAAACTCCTTAGATGAGTGGGTTCAATCCGCCTCGGGTCTGCTAAATATTTTTGTGAAAGACAGGGAGAAGTAGACTATCGTGGACACCGAACAGGCCTTGGCTACAACTCGCTGGTTGCTTTGCTCGAGACTAGGGTAAGTGGCTATCGCATGTAGTCCTTAAGAGCCTGGGATACTTTGGGTGAAGAGGTCCCTTGGATACTTGGGGTGATTTTAATCCTATCCTCGCTTCCAAAGATCGTAGGGGAGGTGTGCATGCTAAAGCTGGGCCAGGTAGGGGTTCACTAATTTTGTGTTTAACAATGCTCTGAAGGACCTGAGGTGGTAATCCTTTTACATAGGTTCATGGGTCTCTTAGACAATGTTTGGATCAATTTATTGGCAATGAGTGTTGGTTTAACATGTACCCGGAGTCCATTAGTGTGCATCTAAACAGACTTGGATCGGACCATAATCCCATTTTGATTAAGTTTAAGGTCGGTCCCCGAAGAGTTGGTCCGAAACTGTTCAAATTTGTGTTTACTGGCAGGAGCACGTAAATTTTAAGGAGGTTTTGCAATCTGCATTGTCAAAGGACAAAAGTGTAGAGGCTAATTTGGAAATCCTTGCAGCAAGGCTGTCGGATTGGAACAACGAAACTTTTGGTGACATAGGCAGGAGGAAATATCATATTATGGTTAGTTACGAGGCATCAATAAAGCCTTGGCATGTCATGACTCGGAGTTCCTTTCGGACTTGGAGATTAAGTTGAAGGATGAGGTTGACATTATTTTGGCGCAAGAGGGGAGTATTTGGAAGCAGAAATCGAGATGTAATTGGGTAAATTTTGGGAATCAGAATACGAAATATTTACATACTTGTGTTAAAAGTAGAAGACGTGCAAATACGACTGTTTCGTTAAAAATGGATGATAGGGTTTGGTGCTCTAATAGTACTCGTTTACGCGTGTTAGCTGTTGACTTCTACTCTGCTCTTTTTTTGTAGCAATGGTGTCAATGGATATGGGTACAACGTGAGAGGAAGGTTCCACCGAAATCCGAATCTCCATCTTTCTTGGTTATCCTTGTCGGTTCTTGATGAGGAAATTAAAGGGGCTGTTTTTGAGATGTCTCCCTCGAAAGCACCCGGTGTTAATGGTTTCCATGCGTTTTTATATCAGAAGAACCGGGATCTTGTGGGCTCGAATGTCTGCTCGTTTTTTTGCAAGAATTTTGTGTTGAATAGGACCCCGGGTGAGGCAAATCGTACTCCTGTAATTCTGTTATCAAAGGTCCAGAGTCCGGAAGTTCTTTCTCAATTTAGCTCGATCATTCTATGTACGACTTTGTACAAAACGGTTACAAAGGTGATAGTAAACAGATTGAAACCGTTTCTTCCGACTTGGATTTCAGAGGGACAAACTAGTTTTGTGACTGCTCGTTAAATTACCGATAATGTCATCATTTTACAAGTAGTCATTCATTCTATGAAGAGGAAGTCAGGTAAATGCGGTTGGATGACAATTAAGATTGACTGAAAAAAGCTTATGATAGGTTAGAATGGTCCTTTATCGATGATACTTTGATGATATCAGATGTCTGGATGAGCTCCGTACTCTAATCATGCTATGTGTGTCCTCGGCATTGACACATATTCTTTGGAATGATGAACTGACTGAATCTTTTAAGCCTTCTCGGGGTATCCGACAAGGTGACCCTCTTTTACCTTATCTTTTCGTGATGTGTATGGAGAGATTTTCTCAAGCAATTCAGTGTGAAGTAGATTTTAAGCATTGGAAGCCCATTCATTTGTCGAGAGGGGGTCCTGTTTAGTCCCATTTGTTTTTTGCAGATGATCTTGTGTTGTTAGAAGAATGTCTCTGAACCAGTTAGAAGTAATTAAGAAAGTTCTTGAAAATTTTTGTGCGGTCTCTGTTCATAAAGTCAGTCTTTCTAAGACAAACATTAATTTCACCTAGAATGTTGACGAATCATCCACGAGAAATATAAGCAATGGTTTCCAGTACACTCTTGTAAATGACCTTGAGAGATATCTGGGTGTGCTGCTGTTACATAAAAGAGTCACCTATGAGACTTATCAATTCCTTGTACAGAAGTGTGGGATAAATTGTCTAGGTGGAAGGCTCGAATCTGTCTTTGGCGGGTCGTCTTACGCTCGTAAAGTCCGTTTTTCGGCCATTCCTTCTTATACGATGTAATCGTGCCATTTACCACAAGGCACTTGCGATGAGATTGAGAAGTTAATTCGGGGCTTTTTCTAGGGGTGTACTGATGAAAGGAAAAAGGTTCATCTTGTGAACTGGGATGAGGTTTGTACCGATGTGAAACATGGTGGGATTGGTATGCGGCATCTAAGGTGGCAAAACGAAGCCTTCATTATGAAAATCGCGTTCAGAATTATTTCCAAACAAGATAGTTTATGGGTCTTTATGTTGCGCTCTAAATATAAAGTTTTGGAAGTCTGTCCAATCTCAATCTCCAAACCTGGTTGTTCTCGCATGTGGCGGGCACTAGGATCGCTCAGGGGAGACATCCGAGAGGGATTAGTGTGGAGTCTGGGAGATGGTTTAACCGTGGACTTTTGGCGAGACAATTGGTTAAGAGAAATTGGTCCACTGGGTGATTTGCTAGTGTCTAATGGACATGTGGTGCCTAGCTATTCTAAGGCGATCGAATGGGTGACTCCGGAGGTGGTTTGGGACTGGAATGCGCTATCTATATTACTCCCATCTACGGTGTTGTCTTTTGTTGCAGCAATCCCACCTCCGTTTTCAAATAGAGGTACGGACAAACCGGGTTGGAAATGGGAGAGTAATAGATGCTTCACAACGAAGAGTGCTTACCGAAGGCGTGCCAGTACAACATCAGAGCACGGTATGGTTTATTGGGACTTAATTACCAAGTATAAGAGCTGCCTCAGATAAGAATGTTACTGTGGCTAATTTGTAAAGGCGCTTGCTTTCGAATGAAGAACGAGCAAGGTGACCCCTTACTTCGATGATCAGTTGTGCGATGTGGGGTTGCTCTTGAGTCGGCTTCCCATGTCTTAAGGGAATGTGTCCAATAGCGAAATCTACTTGGCTTACCGTGGTCAAACCGGAACGATATAGGGAATTCATGCAAATTGATTTTTTTTTTTTTTTTGGATTCAGTGTAACATCACACACCTTGGTTATTTTCCGTGTAGTGAGTGGCATTGGGAATTACGGTTTGGAACCATCATTTGGAGTCTTTGGGCAAGGAGGAATAGTTTGCTTTTCGATGAAGGCTTTGTTGCAGGTGAGAGCATTATAGATTGTAGTAATCGATTGGTGAACGCTTTAGCGTTTCTTTAAACACGAGACTAAGGTTGATGCAACGCGGAGCGAGTAACCAACAAGATGGAACGTGGCAACCACTTAACCGAGGATGGTTAAGTTGAATTCTGATGGAGCGAGACACACCAGCCTAGGGACAACGTCGTGTGGGGGAGTTATCTGCGATGAAGATGGTAAATGGATCATAGGTTATGCTAAACATATAGGCTCTTGTTCTTTGTTAGTCGTTTTAACTATGGGGCATTTTGGAAGGTCTCAAAATAGCTTGGAATATGCATCTCGCTGCTGTTCATGTTGAAACGATAGTATCAAGCTATTGAAGTCTTGAAGGAGGAAGGTAATCAATGAGTTGGTTCTTCGTTGGTTCCTCATATTTCGCATTTGATGAGGCAGAATTGGAGGGTAAATCTCGGCCAGGTAACGAGGAGGTGTAACACAATAGCAGATGAAATGGCTAAGTTGGCTCGCTCGGCAGATTTCGGTGTCCAAATTTTCCAGCAACCACTATTGGAGATAGCTACGACGTTTAAACCGGAGGCTGCTGGTTCCTGGCAACAAACGTAGTAGCCTTGTAGTAGCTTGATTTCTTTCTTTTCAATAATAAAAAAAAGGTAAGAAATCACTTCTATATCGATAATTATCAGATTTGAGGATTTGAAAATTAATCCATGTTATATTTCTAAATATGTTTTGAAATTCAAATTCCAACAGCCACGTACAGATAAAAAATATACAAGGATTCATTTCTTGTTTGTGCTATTTTTTTTTCACTATTGAATCCTGTAAATAATCACTAACTCTGCACTTGCATGGAACCGGAACAGGTAGTAAGAGAAGCACCGATATAAAGAAATTGCTCCAATGCTTTGCATTTCACTGTAACCCCCCGTTTTCACCGTCAATCGGTGAGCCAGGGTTTGACTTCCGCACCCTGATCGAACTCACCTGATTGATATTTGGTACACTGCAACTAGTTCTCATTCATCCATGGTGAAAACCAGAAGACGTGCACGCACAAACAAAAACACGGCGATTGGGTATGATAGCAAGCATCAGCATCCAGAAATATCATCTTCAGGTGACGAATCCCTTAATACTTGCTCTGCTTCTTCTTCTTCGTCCTCGTCATAATCAGCAGAAGCAGGTTGGCCATTGAGGTCAATTCTTTCTCACGAATTGTCCCCCCACTCGAGGCCTTCTTTCAGCTAGCCTCTTTCTATTAACATATCTGATCTTATCAAAACACTGCTCCTTCCTTTTCTGCCGAAATTTGATCAAGGCTGCCTCTCTTCTGTCAACCTTACTAGGTTTCACTTCACTGGAAGATGAATTCCCAAACGATGGCCACATGTGACCAGTTGGTGGATGACCGGGTTGCACACACATATTAACTGGATAGTATGGAAATGGTGCCATTCCTCTTACATGAGGATGGGGAAGGCATTGTTGAAGATGATTATAATGAGGCACCATAGCAGTGCTTGTATGATTATGAAGGTCGTGGAGATTGTTATGAAACAACTGAGTCGATGACGGCATCATAACTTGATTTAAAACTCCAGATGTCGTAACCGGTTTTCGTCCGGGCACGAATTTTTACTCGGCGGGAAAATAATGTGAATAAATGGTTTAAAATAATTTGGGAGTCGCCATCGGCCTTTTGGGTCAGGTAGGTCGAATACCTAAAAATTATCTTTTAAAAGAGTTTTTAAGAAAACATCAGTTAAAAGATAAATTGATCTGTGTATAACCAAAAATTCATTCTTTTTAGAAATAAAAAGGGATTCGTGGTCGGTTACGTTTAGGGAATGATTAGCACCCCTATAACGCCCAAAATTGGTACTTTATTAATTATAAGTTGTTTCTATTATTAGAAATTTAAAAATTCAAAGATATATTTAATTTATAATTTTGTTATTTTCAAATTTATAATTTTACAAAAATATATTAATATATAAATATAAGATTATTTAGAAATATCAGAAAATGGCTTCTGGATCCTTTAAGACAACTCTTTTCTTTGATATTAGAAAATAAATAAATATCAATAAAACATTTTTCTAAAAACATTAAAATAAATTAATAAATAATTTTAAAAAATAGGATTTATATTTATTTAAGAATATAAGAAAATGACTTCTAGGTGCTTTAAGACAGCCCATTTCTTAATATTAAAAAATAAATAATTATTAATAAAATATTTTTTATAAAAGTAATTAAAATATATAGATTAATATATATAATTTATATTTATTTTAGAAATATATGAAAATGGAGATCCAGTTGCTTTAAGATTGCCCTTTCTTAATATTGAAAAATAAATATATATTAAAATATGATTAAAAGTTATTTATAAAATTAATTAAATATGATTAAAATAAAATAATAATAAAATAATAATTAAAGCAATAATTAAAATATAAAAGTAATAAAATAACATTGCAAATAAATAATGATCAAAATAAAAGGTATTAAAAATATAGTGTTAAAATGTAAAATATTAAAAATTCATAGTCAAAAATGAAAATTAATGATTAAAATGTAAAATTATAAAACTAGAGTCCTAATTCGAAATATTATAAAATTTGAGCGCTAACAATGTGATTTAACCTATTAGTTATTCGGGATTGAAATATTAAATATAAAAATATGAGGGACTAAATATAATATTTATCCTAAATATATAAATATTTATTGATTAATGACTAAAACAAAATATATTAAAATTAGAATGTCAAATTAAAATAAACAGAAATAACTGGTGGTGACTATTTTGTAAAGATTACAAACATGGAACACCGCGGAAGGGGTTTACCCTTTATGAAATTATAGAAATACCATCCCCCAAAACGAACATCGTTTGGGAGAGGGTATTTAAACCCTTAAATGGCCGGCCCTAGGGCCATCTTCCTTTATTTTTAATTTTTGCTTCTCTCTCATTTGAGAGAGAAGCTTTCGTTCTCTCTGGTTTTCCCTCACCGGAGGGAGAACCAGACACCGTCGGCCGCCTTGCTTCAGCGCCAATCGCCCCGTCGGCCACCCTCTACGGTGGCCGGAAATCACCAAGTTACCCCAAAATAGCCCTCTTTCAACACTAAGACCAAATCTAGCCTCCTTTTGTCATAAAAATCCCTCAAACCCCGTAGATCTAGGTTTTATTTACCTTCGATATTTGGATCTCCGGCGACGTTTGGGATTTCCGAGAGCGAACAAAGTGTCAAGGGTAAGGCTTCTCTCCTTTTCTTTTCTTTTGGTTGTTTTCTTGCCTCTGGTTGCTGGTGTTCGTTGTGTTTGCTTCGTCTGTTGGTTTTCTGTTTCTCGTCTCTATCTTTTTTTTATTTTGCAGGTTCTCCATGGCTTTTATAAGCCTCGACGAGGCTCTCATCGGACCAGTCCAAAGGGGTTTATCTGGTGAGTCACCAAACTATGTGGTGACTCACCCCATAGCTGCGACGTGGACGGCCGACGTGGTGTTTCTGGAGTCTTCGAAGAGGGTGGCTTCATGGCTGCTGCTGGAATGGATCATCTGGAATCATAGGCGACAGCTGTTTATTGTCGATCTAAGGCGGCGGCGGCGCTGGCTGAGGCGGTTTGGATGATAACCTAGGGTTAGGAAACCCTAGGGCTTCCTTTGCTGGAACCATCTGGGCCGTTGGATCAAAGCCAGATCCAACGGCTGTGAGCTAAGACGGCTGGCTGCTGGGATGATGAAACAAACCCTAAATTAGGTTTAGGGTTTCTTATGGCCTTATGGATCTGGGTCGGTCACTGTTGGGCTAGAGTTGGGTCTGGGCATGTAAACGGGCCTCCAGTTTTGTAATTTATTTATATAATTATAATAATATATATTAATAATAATAATAAAAATAATAATTTTAATTTTAATGAAAGTGAAAGTGAAAAATTAGTGTCTACAGCTGCCCCTCTTTGCTCATTCTTGTGTTAACAAGAATAAAGCAAAGACAAAAAAGACAATAATTTTTCATTCGGCTTATTTTAAGTAATATGGAAATGTTGAAAACATCATGCACTAAAGGGCTTACAGATGACCCTAAGGTTTTGAAAACATCAAAAAGTTCCCGAAGGCTTTTTGGAAACATCATGCACTGCAGAACTTACAGATGACCCTAAGGCTTTGAAAACATCAAAAAGCTCCCGAAGGCTTTTTGGAAACATCATGTACTACAGGACTTACAGATGACCCTAAGGGTTTGAAAACATCAAAAAGCTCCCGAAGGATTTTTGGAAACATCATGCACTGCAGGACTTACAGATGACCCTAAGGCTTTGAAAACATCAAAAAGCTCCCGAAGGCTTTTTGGAAACATCATGCACTACAGGACTTACAGATAACCCTAAGGTTTTGAAAATATCAAAAAGCTCCCGAAGGCTTTTTGGAAACATCATGCACTGAAGGACTTACAGATGACCCTAAGGCTTTGAAAACATCAAAAAGCTCCCGAAGGCTTTTTGGAAACATCATGCACTACAGGACTTACAGATGACCCTAAGGCTTTGAAAGCATCAAAAAGCTCCCGAAGGCTTTTTGGAAACATCATGCACTGCAGGACTTACAGATGACCCTAAGGCTTTGAAAACATCAAAAAGCTCCCGAAGGCTTTTTGGAAACATCATGCACTACAGGACTTACAGATATAGGAAAGAGTTTAATAAGTAAAAAAAACTAAGGAAATCGTTTTCTTACTTTTCAACATTTTCATTTTAGAAAAGATAAATGAGAAACTATGGAAATCGTTTTCTCATTATTTTTCAAAATAACATGTTGATTGGGTAACATGCCCGAATCTCAAGATAAGGCTGTTGGAAACAGTTTACTAAGCAAAAAAACTAAGGAAATCGTTTCTTACTTTTCAACAATTTCATTTTAGAAAAGATAAAATGAGAAACTATGGAAATCGTTTTCTCATTATTTTTTTTGAAATAACATGTTGATTGGGTAACATGCCCCAATCTCAAGATAATGCTCATTTTTGTGGATTACGTCCATCTATTCTTCAGATGTTTTCGTGATTCCTGTATTTGCGGTTTTGAATACCTTATTCTTGTAAGGTATTTTTTCCATGAATCTTCTTGTTCTTCTGAAGATCTGTAAAACTTCATGTTTGAATGCACTCAGATGTATCAATGTAATGCATTGTCTATTGTGTAAATGATATTCTTATGAATGCATGAATGTTGATGCAATCTTCATTTGACTTCAAAGTGGTGAACTTGGTCTTCCTTCACTTCATCATTTATTGCCAGGGTTACCTCTGGATATCAGTGTAGAAACTTATGCTATCAAGCTTGCATTTCTGCAGAATCATCTTATCAATCTGTATCTTTGTGTCTTCTTTGCTTCATTTAAGTCTCAGAAAAAATGTTTCATTTGTGGAACTCTTGCCGTAGTCAGAATTATGACTTTGATGCCCTATTTTGTCTTGGATAAAACCAACTTTCTCTGCTTGGACTTGTGCATAAATTCAATAAAGCTTTTATCTTTGAAAATAGAATCTATCATCTTTGAATAGTATAGATGTAGATATGTCAAACTCTGCAGAGATTAATTAGGAGAGTAGAGTCTGTTCTGATTTGGCTCTTGAAACATATCATAAGCAGGATTTATCCTAATTCCTTTCATGTCTTCACATCTAATCAGATCTCGAATAAGGCAACTTGGACCATATCATGTCGAGATGTTTAACAACATCCTGTCGTTCAACATTAATTGGCTCCACTAGTTTCTTGTTGTTAAAATTTCAGCTCTCCTTCTGTGGAAAGAAATCTTCATTATATCTCACTTATAATCTTGAAGTTGGAGAAGACAAACTTCATCTTGGATCAAAAATGGAAACCATATGATCACAACATTGGTTCAGCATCAGAATAACTGGTTCATAAAACATTTGACAACACATGCATCATCTCATGTGGTTTCTGCTCAGATGTAAAACACTTGACAACACATTCATCCTTTTCTGTGGCTTCTGCTCAGATGTTCGTAAAGCATTTGACAACACATTCATCCTTTTCTGTGGCTTCTGCTCAGATTTCTCAATCATTGAAGCTCTTTACCTAGTGTTCAAAGTTTTTGTATGATGTCACAAGATCACTTGAGAACAAAACTCAATGGGAATACAAGTGAAATACTGGTATGACCAAAAAAGTTGGTCAAATTCACAAAATGTGCTGGTGTCGAATTGAATAGGAGACACTAATTGCTCTTGATATCATCTCGGGAAAAGGCAAGTGTGATACTGATCACGTTTTCTTCTGTAATGAGCATTGTAGAAAGTAGAAACACTTCAGCTATAGGATCCATGTACAGAAAGATATATGTGGAATTCTTGATGCTGGGGATGAAACGTACATGATAAACCCAAAATAGATAAAAATTCAGTTCAGCCTGGCTGGTAATGATAACCCCAGTAACAGCGGGAATAACAGTAATGTAAGTGACTAGAGTCTCCCTTTCCAATGTCATCGATTAAGCGAAAACTATTGTGAAAAACAACTTCGTAATCCCAACAGTATGGTTG